CGGTCGCGGCACAGATCTGCATGACCGTCATCACGTTGTGGCCGATGGGGTTCCTGCCGCTGTAGGCGAGCGTGCGAGTGTGTTTCTTGTGGATAGTGCATCAGTCAGAGGATGCATGGTACGTTGTGATGTACGTTAGCCCCTGTCTGTTGAGTCTTTGATNCGTGTGTAATCGCGCCTTGTCCCGCTCGTCGGGTCTCTTGCAGTCCTATCACATCACAGTCGGTCGCGGCACAGATCTGCATGACCGTCATCACGTTGTGGCCGATGGGGTTCCTGCCGCTGTAGGCGAGCGTGCGAGTGTGTTTCTTGTGGATAGTGCATCAGTCAGAGGATGCATGGTACGTTGTGATGTACGTTAGCCCCTGTCTGTTGAGTCTTTGATTTCCGATATCATTGTGTTCTGCTTTTGTGCGTTGGTCGAGCGACACGGGTGGTGGCTGCGGTGCTACGGTGCTGTGGTGCTCCCACCCTTGCTCACTTCACCTTTTGACCTGTTCTCCTGGTCCAAGATCTCAACAATAAAGCATATTTTCCCCAGAAGCCACGAGTTTACCAACATGCACTCTCTCTCCTGCCGCCTTGTCTCAGAGTCTTGATCTCGTGTGCTGTCGACTGTAGTGATACAAGCATCTTCAACACGCGTACACACTGCTTGGATATACTAGTGTTGTGTAAGCTTCAGAGTCCAACGAGTGTTGTTGACCGCATGCATTAGAACGTAATGGCGGCATGTAGGCGGCAGAGTAGAAGAACAGAGGCGTGCCAGACCACAACCAATCGAAAACGGGCCCGCAACTCGTATCCCACAGTCTCTCTCAACATGTGCCTCAAGGTCATTCCCATCTGGGATATAATATACGAAAATCTCTACGGCAGGAGTATCGGTGCAATTAACCAGTCTACCCCTACGCACGAACACAGGCAAGGGTAAACGAACGGCAGTCCTCGGAGGTGATGGGCGAAATCGTGGCGTCGAGGCCCGGTCACGTCACTGAAGAGTTTAATCCCAGCAGCTTGGGAACAAGCCTATGCCGAGTGTGGCTGTTGGCATAGGGGTACATCTTATTTATTTATATAGGATGTGGGATGCGCAGGAGGTACTCCTCCATGCCTCCTGAGATGAAAATGGATCCTCAGACCTTGCTTGGCTGACTTTCGCTCAGCAATAGACTAGACTATATGTGCGACTTTCCATCATTCACGATTGTGGAGTCTGAGCGTCAGGCGACATTTACCTTGTCATTCCCCTTGAAACAAGCTGCCGTGCTCCTTCATATTTGGCGTGAGCGGCATCACACGGTAAGCGAGTATTGGACGCTATGGACTCCCATCTCTGCAATCGCTGATTGTCTGCTTTTATGTCTCAAAACTTCCAAGAGAAACAGGTTTTGGCACATGGCTCTCCTTCTTTGCGCTTCGGGTGATTACTCGCGATGCATTTACCAAGCGCCTCACGGGACTGGGACCTCAAGGTTGTCGAGATGTCGCAGGGGACTTCCCTAGCAGTTTATGCTGTCCGTGTGTTTGGATACAGACTGAGTAGCTCTGTACCGGCAAAAGCAGAGGGAACGCAGACAGGAGCACATGCATACCTGAAGGTTACCACGTGTGGGCCCCCCCTCCTTTTTTGGTGCTAAGACGTGCTCTTACTTCGTTTGAGGCCAGCAAGCAAGACGAGCGAAACATGTACCACGTCGGTTTTTGTGGGCATGATAGAGCGCGGGTGGGTGTGGTTGACAACATACGTTTTTTTCGCTGTTTGCCGACGAGGATTTGCTGCTTGGAAAAAAATTAGCCTCAGGAAGACTGGTGTTTTTCGGGCACTTATGCGCATATTTTTTTTTTGCTCGGGATTCACGTGTCGTGTGTATGTGCGGTCTCATTTATTCTGGACGTCGTTTTTTTCGACGTTTCGACCCATACCGTGGAAGAGTATGTTTTCTGGACGCATCATCAACCGGGGTCAGGAGGGAGGAAGACCACACAACAGGAATTTTCCTGTGTCTGTCTGTGGTGCTCACTATATTTTTCGAAGCGAAAATAATTCAGCAGACGCATTCCATCGTCCACCGTCAACTCTAACTTCTATCGGAGAAGGGCATTGTACACCATCAGGCATGGGGACAACAGATTGGCCAGTACTCCGTGTTATGACGACGTAATTAATGCTACTACATGTACATGAACATGGAAGCTTTTCTTGCCAACCCCATGTCACCGACTAGTAGCCACACCTAAACTTGACGCTCCACGGTGGGGACTATACAACAGGATCTATTGTAGTGCATCTTAGTCTCGCAGCTTGCGTGAAATACGTTCAAGTTGTTGACCCCGGCCGCCTACACTGTATTCGTTCATCAACAGCAAGCAGCAACGACAAACAGCAGAGTAGAGGGAGAAGTGTGGTGCCCCATACTGGCCTTTTGCATTGAATTTACATTGGTTATTGTGTTGACAATGCCCTTCATCACCTTCACGATAAATCACGTATAAGGGAGTGTAACGCAAAAAACCGTGCAGAAAACGGCATCATCGCGGCGATATAATGCCATTTCCGTTGTCGCCAGCTGGTCGTCGCTCTTCGTGGCCATTGAGAAAACACGCCTCGCCACACTTTTTTCGCGCTTCGCGCGAAATAGTTTAATTCCCCGGTGCAGACCCCTACCTGTAAAATCGGAGCCAAATTCCATGCATATAGGGCCCACTTCTCCTCGATCCCTTGCGTGCCTAATACAAGAGATTGAAACGAGCCTCCCCCTTCCAAGTAGCTGATATGTCAACACATTGTGTTCGTTCCTCGAGGGAGTCCACTAGGAATGGCGGGTCGCGACGACGCAGGCATTGAGACCTCCGGTGATCCCGCGGCGGAAAGTTCACAAGAGGTCGCGAGTCTGAAAGCGGAAATGGGTTCGTTGTCGGAACAGATCAGCCAGCTGACGATGCTGCCAACCCTAAGTCTAGGTTCATGCAAGATGGAGGAGTCCGGCGGGGCCAAGGAGGGAGCTGCTGGACGCGGCAACGCTACGGAGAGCGTAGACGCGTCGCCTGCGCAAGCTCATGGAGGGACACCGCAGGTCGAGAGCGCGCGCACTTACGAGTACCTGCACGAACCAGTTCGAGAGTCCGACTCGAAAGGTCGATACGGCGACACAGCGGCGAAGCAAGGGGCTTTGAACCTCGAGAGGTGAAGTAGCCACTTCTCACAACCAAGGTGGCTATGGTAGCACCATTGAGGTGGTACTGGTGCTGGTTTTTATTTCGGTGACGAACCGCGAGAGCGGGTTATCAAAGTGTGCGAGATACATCCCCCCCGTTCAACGGGAAAGCGGAGGACTGCACCTCATGCTTGAGGATTTCCGAATGGCGGCAAGTGGAGCTAACCTGTTGGAACACTGCGTAGAGAGCGGGGGGCTGGAGATTACCGTTAACAGTGGGAGAAGCAAATTTCGCTGTGCCAGCAATACCAACGCGAGCAGGTAGGACTCGCATGCATGGAACTTCCTGACCCATGCAATGACAAAGGGAAGCGAAAGAAAAATCATGACAAGGCCAGAGACGCCCCAGGGAGCGCTCCGAGAGTTTATAGGCATGTAGGACCCAGAATCGTCCATGCAGCCGGCAGACGACCTAAATGGCCTACCTCATCGAAGATTACCCGCGGCTGAAAATCCGCAACATGCGTTGAACAAGATGCTAGGCACCGCCGAATCCCTCTCCAAGAAAGTACTACAAGTCAACGAAACGTTTGTCCACCACCATTTCTTGCATGCCCTTGCGGATGAGTTTGCCATGACCAAACACGCCCTGCGACACAAGGAGACGTTTACGCGGGACGATGTCCTGAAGGAGGATACCATAGAGTTTAAGGCGATCCGGGAGAGGCTGGAGAAAGGGAAAAGCAAAGGTGCGTGAGGCACCGAGGAAGTCGACATCGCCGGCGGCGGCGATCGTCGGGGGCGGTCGTCTGGTCGTGGCCGTGGCGGTGGTCGCACCGGCGGTCGAGATGGCGGCGGCCGCAGCGGCGGGGGAAGCTACCGAGTCGAGGAGAGCAAAGGGGGCAGCAGTGGGGGGGCAGGCGGTGGCGGTGGTGGGGGATCAAAGCTCCCTGGCCGGTGATTCAGGTGTGGGCACAAGGGGTCAGATGGCCGTCTGCACCAACAAGGGGAGCGACCTTATCCCCGAGGTGTGGTCATCGCCATGGGTTGGGGCTACACCAAGGACAAGTGCGCGACGCAGGAGGTCGTCCTGGCGCAAGTCGTGTATTGCGACAGCGACATGGACTCCGTCGAGAACCAAGCATTCTGTCCCGTTGCAGGCTTTCAAGGCGAATGTGGTACCGCAAATGTCGATCTCGTGGGGGCTACGGAACATGGCCAGGATGTCATGCAGTACGTGGCTGATACAGCGGCCACGTGCTCCATGTTCCGATGTGCAAACGCTTTCGTGAACTACCGTGAGTGTGGGGGTTGGGTAAAGGGGACCGGAGGCGACAAGGCCCCCATCCCTCTTCTAGGATACGGAGACGTGATCGTAGTCCTCCGGTCGGAAGGTGGTTGAGTGCCCCTTCCGATTCCGAATGCTGCTCATGTACCGGAGTGCCCCTTCAACCTCATCTCGCATACTACGTTGGCCGAAGAGGGTCGCACGTATTCAGGGCAGAGGAGGGGGGCTTAAGGAAACCACATATGACGGGGGGGAATTGTGATTCCCTCGGATTGGCAAGGTGCTCACTCAAGAGGCTATCAAACAGAGCCTTCGGTAGGCATCGCTTGTGCCGCAATCATTGCTCCTGGCGATGCGCATGCAGCCACCCCCATCGACCTCAACGCACCACAACTCGCACGGCCACGCCCACGAGAAACTGCTCAGAGAAACGGCGGAGCGGCAGGGAGTGCACCTGTTGGAAGGATCGCTGGGCCCTGCCTCGGCTGTTCGATGTCCAAGGGGCAGGTGAAGCCCGTTTTGAAGAGCACGGACACACGCGCAAATAAGAAGCTGTTTCGCCTATTTCTCGATTTGGGGGGGAAGATGCAGCTCAGGAGCATTGGCAGAAACTGGTACACACTCATCATCAGAGATGCTTGATCCCGCTGGACACGTGTCTTCTCTCTAAAGCACAAATCTGACGCAGCTGTTCCGTTTGAGCAGTACCTGGCGAGACTACAGAGCACAGGGGGTTCCGTGTGAGGTGTTTGTCGCACGTAACGACGGCGGCGGCGAGTTCGGGTCGGGTTGCGGAGGTTTGCCGCAGATAAGGTATCAAGCAAGAGTTTACACCCCCCAACATCCCCAAGTACAACGGTGTAGCGGAGAGAGCGTTGGGGTTGATCAGTAATGCCGCGCTTGCATCACGCATCCAAGCGAAAGAACTGTTCCCTGACGCACCAACCAGCCCCGGACTGTGGGCTCAGGCCATTTCCTCTGCATGCAACCAGCTGAACTGCACCGCAACCACAAGCAACCCTGCGCACAAATCCCCCTACGATACGTTCCACGATACACCGCCGCCAATTTGGTCTACGTACCCGTCCTTTAAACCTCTCGTGTTCAAGTCGAGAAGAAAGACAAAGTCACAACCCAAGGGAGAGAAAGGATGGTACCTTGGGCCTGCCCACAATCATCCCCGTGATTGCGTCCGCGCACGAACCGAGCCTGGAACCATGATCACGACCCGAAATTTCACCGGGCGCCACGTGCCCGTTGCTTCACCCACTCCCCCACAGCTGCTGCCTCTCGTAGATGACGAGGAGGGCGAGGAGGACGATATCATGCAGAGCGCGTAGCGTCAAGGTGGAGGGGGGGAGAACGACTCGAGGAGTGAGTCCGACCTCGACGTGACGGAGGCTCGTGGGCCTTGGCGCGCGAAACCGCCCGTGCGCAAAGGGGCGCCGGCGGTACCCGGCAACGGGATCCAACGGGACGATAGTCGAGGTAGCGTCCCCCCGTCGCCCCGTTAGGGAGGGGGTGATTTCGGTGGTGGTGGTGACTTCGACAGCCCCACCGACAGCACTAGCAGCAGCGACCCCGCCGCCGACAGCAACAGCGACAGCAGCAGCGGCGACGACCCCGACGACGACGGCGGTGGCGGCCACAGAAGCCCCGGTGATGCCGGCAGCAGCAAGCCTGGCGACCTTGATGGAGACGACGGTGGCGGCAACAAACCCGGCGAAGACTCCGAAAACCTCGAGGAGTACAAATTCAATCCCGCCGCCAGCCACTACCCGCCGGGACTTGGAGGGAAGAGACTTCTAGGGGGCGCCCCGCGTGCAGGACCGCTGCGCCACGGGGTCGAGCGCGGCCGCACACGGAAGCAGACCCGGGAGCTGCAGGGTTCCGAGGAGGCCCCGAACCCCGAGGAGGCGCTGCTGGCGACCGCCCTGGAGACGGAGCACGGGGCGGAGATCGTCGCGGCCTACGTTCGCGAATCGCTGGTGAAAGAGTACTGTGAGGAGGAAGTGGAGCGCCGCGCAAGCATGGAAGAGCTGTACAGGCGCGAGATGCAGAAGGTGCTCCAGTCCAACGACCTGGAACAGCAGGCGTTCGGTGCCGAGGTCGACGACGGATCTACGCAACGACTCCCTGACCCGCAGTTAAGTATTCCCTCGCCAATCGGGCAGAAACCTGACGACGTAGAGGCTGTGCCGATGACATACAAGGATGTGTTGAATTCCAAGTACAAGGTGTTCTGGGTAGCGGCGATGAGGAAGGAGATTGATGGCCACGACAAGACTAGGACCTTCACTAAGGTCAACGGGCTGCCTGAGGGACGGAAGGCAACAAGTGCGAGGCGGGTTTTTTCCCGGAAGACGAATGAGAAGAGCTTCATAGTAGACTTCAAACCCCGTTTGGTGGCGTGGTTTTTTCCAAATCCCCGGTGGAGTCACTCATCGTCAGCATGCCCGATTGTTGCATCCATTAAGACAGTGCTAGCCGTATCGACTGAGAAGGGCATGAAAGCAGTCCACTGAGATATCAAGCAAGCTTACATCCACGCCAAGCTCAAGGAAGAAATAGTCCTACCTCAAGATGTATGTTGTCGGTGGGCTGGCACAGACGGTGCAGACAGGTGTTTCCTTCGCGTACCTGTAGGTTTTTGTTGTGTAGGCATTCGTTCCCGAGGATGGCACGCTCACAAACCCACCTTGCCCGCCTATTATCGAGAACGGGTTACGATGGTACCAGAATAGCAACCGTTCGTCGCGGTGGTTTTCCGCACGCTATCCGTCGTTCGAATGTGTTGCGTCTTAGGCGTGCGTTTGGAGCAATACACTCACATTGGTTTCGGTTCGTCGCCGTCCGATTGACTGGACAATATCCCCTTTGCCCCTCTGTGTTGTGACACAAATGAGAACGCTTGTCACAGATCTGGTGTGCTTATTCGAGGTGCGTGTGGTAGAGTGTAAGTAAGGTTTCATGGCGCGCATGTTGCCGGTCACTTCCTTCTATGCGTTTTCGCTTTGCGCCTGCCGGACGCTACTGGCGCACGTACCTGCAGGTAGCGGTTGAAGGGTTTGGGTAGCGGTTGAATCGCAATCCGTTGCCTGGTTCATTTCGACTTGTCGGTCCGTCCTTGGGAGAGCGCCTCATGCATGGTTTCCTTATCTCGTGGAAGACATAGTTAATCTTCCCTATTCATGTGTGTCCGAGTACACTATTCGCCCCCGCCTTGCACTGTCAGAAGTGTCCGCGATGTCCTTGAACTCATGTGTAACTCTTCGGTGTGCTAGGTCACGTAATCTTGGGAAACGGGTAGTGAACATCGTCCTGGTAGAAAAAACACGATTGACTTCGGAATACCATGCCATAAAAATGCGAATGGGTGAAAGTCCGCAGGAATACTTTGGCAGATTTGCTGTTTTGCGCAGCAGGTTAGCCTCACACGGCGTCACATACCCCGACGATGATGCGAATTTGCAAGTTGTGTACAACTTGTCTTCCGAGTACAAAATGGAGAAAGCTATGCTTCGTGCCCTTCCGCCCCCCAATCTGACCCGTCAGCACCTTGAAAAGGTCGTGAAAGATGCCCATCAGGATATGGTGACCGCACGGGAGGGGGAGCCGCAGAATGGCGCGGGGCACGCTTTCGTCGCTGCCGGTGGGAACCGGGGCGACGGACGTGTCCAAAATGGGTCCAGTGGGAACGGCGGGGGTCAGGACGGCAATGGAGGCGGTCGGAGCAGCAACAACAGGGCGGACGGAGACAGGTGCTGCGACTATCATCCGTACTCGTCGCACACCAACAGCGAGTGCTACACCCAGCGTCGGCAACGGAAGAAGCAGGAGACTAAGCAGCAGCAGCCTCAGCAACAGCAGCTGCCTCAGCAACAGCAGCAGCCTCAGCAACAGCAGCAGCAACAGCGACAGCACAGCCCCCCCAACAGCAGCGGCCTCAGCAGCAACAGCAACCTCGGGGACCACCGCCGCAGCAGCCGAGCCGCAGTGGGGGGGGCTGGGGGGGTGGGCCCCGGCACGGGCCTCACGGCGGCTACGGAGGACAGCAGCATCATGGACATCCAGCCCCCTCGTACACCGCAGCAGCAGCGGCGGCCCCCGTACGGGCATGCAAGTGTAAGTCAACGGTATGGTGCCGCGCCTCACGAGGGGACCGCGTATGGTAACGAGTACGGGGGATGGGAGCATCAGCCACAGTATCAGCAACCTTTGCCAGACTACAGCTTCCAGCAGCAGCCGTATTACCCGCCTCCGACAACGTACTAGCAGCAGCAGCCGCAGCAGCAGCAGCACTCGACCCATGCCCCGTACCATTCGCCTCCTCCCGACCCAGCCGGATCCCCTGGGCATCTTGACTTCCTCAAGACACGTTTTGTGTCACAATGCGAGATCTTTTCAAGTGTGGAAGCGCGTGAGAATGGTAGTGGTGTCGCTTTGTCTGTTCAGAGTCGCCCTTCGCAGATTGGTAGAGAGCAATTTTGGGCCGACAGCGGCGCAAGCAACACGTTTGCCAGCAGTAGCGAAAACATGTTCGACATGAAGCCGATCCTAGCAGGATAAGAGTTCATCCAAGTAGGGAATGGTGCCTATCTGCGCGTGCAATGTGTTGGTAGCATCAACATGGCATTTCACATGCTTGGCCCTTCGGGCGAGACCGATTTTTGCGTGCAGATGTCGGACGTGTACGTAGTCCCCGGCATCACGTTCAATCTGTTTTCTCTGCACCATACGCAGCGTAGGCAGAAGACTACGTTGGATGAAAATGGCGTGCATCTACTCAATGGCCAGCTTTCCTTTGCTTACTCCGATGTAGGATGTTTTCTTTGGGCCACTCGCTTGCCTCCCACGTATACCGGTAGTGCTGCAACCCTCGGTCCCGATGCTCTCCCTCGTGTGTCTCCCCAAGCTCCCCCGCCTAGCGTTGGGACAGGTCTTGTTGTCGCAAACCTCCCTTTCCCCCCAAACACAGGAGCGGGCACACATGCGAGTACGAGGTTCCAGTCCGCCGGTGGTGCCGCTGCCGATGTTGTACCTCCGAGTGCCAGTGCGAGTCCGAGCTTCCAGTCCGCCGGTGGAGTCGCTGCCGGTGCTGTACCTTCGTCTGCGAGTGCGACTTCGAGCGTCTCATCCACTACGTCCGGTGTAGTGATCCCGCGTTGTGTATTCCCGCCAATCGACGTAGATGTAGTGCCAACGATTATTGCCGACTACCAGCCTGTAATCACAGCTGCCGTAGCGTCGTTTGAGATTGCTTCTCCCTCCGTCGTTGACCCGAGCGATTTTCGCGGAGTTGTGATCAACCCCCTCATCCCCCAGGACCATTTGCCTTTCATGGATATGAACATGTTCCTTGATGTAGGCCTGATAAATGGAATAGACTCGGTCCCACAGGGTGATTTTTTCCCGGATGCGCTTGATGTTTGCGACTCCGCAACACCCCCTCCCCCCTCGTTTGCCGTGATGAGCGATGAATTGGATTGCCTGAAGGGTTTTGTTGCTGGATGCAGTGAGCAGCAAACCGTACCCCCCCCCTCGCATGCTTTGGCGATTATCGCCCCCGGTGCTTCCCCGTTTTCGGTAGGAAAATCCACGCCGACCATTGACATTAATTTGTTCCATGCCTCCACCGGCCATGTAAACGAATTATAGATGCGTGAAACGGCCAAGCAGCAGGGCGTACGATTGGTGGGGGAGATGCAGCCGTGTGTGGGCTGCGTGGAAGCGAAGGGTAGGCGGGCCCCGGTGCCGCGGCGTGGCACCCGCGCGGCGGTACCGTTCGGCAAAATCCACATCGACCTCACGGGCCCGTTCTCTGACGCGTTGGACGGCTCCCGGTATCTGATCATGTTCGTGGACAGCGCATCGCGGTGGCAACGGGGGTACGGGATGCGGGCCAAGAGCGACACCCTGAAGTTCGTGCAGCGGTTTCTCGCCGACATGAACGGCATGGGCACTCCGGGGTGTTTCCGCATGGACAACGGCGGCGAGTTCACCGGCTCCGCGTTCACCTCGTTCTGCGACGCTGCTGGCATTCGGCGCGAGTACACCGCCCCCGACACCCCCAAGCAAAACGCGGTGGTCGAGAGCGCAATATGGCGCGCCATGAAGGGGGGCCACGCCGCGCGCCGCCACATCCTCGCCATGGGCCATGTCGACCTCTCCTCCATCCCCAACGTCGGCGTCAACGGACATCGCTTGTGGCTCGCGTCGGCGCTGTGGGCATCGGCCTGCTTCAACCGCTCCGCGACGAAGGCCAACCTGAGCTGGATGTCGTCGTTTGAGGCGTTTTTCGGCCGGAAGCCGCCCCTCACCGTCGTCCCTTTTTTCCACGAGGGGATGATGCGCGTGAAGCGGGCCACCAAGGCGGACGTCCAATCCACGCGGTGCTTCTACCTGCACGGCGCCAACAACCACTCGACGTCTACCGCCGTCGTTCGTCGCCCTGACACCGGTCGCCTCGCCCTCACCAACAACGTTGTGTGGGTCAACCGCCGGGCAGGGGCGCCGGCGCCGGTACCGGGTATCGGGGGGGGTTCTTCGGTCACCGCGGCGCCCTCGCCGGCCACCGCCGTACCTGCGGCCGATGCCGCACCGCCGCCGCCCCCGCCATCAAGGACGTACACCTACATCCCGCCTGCACCAGCGACCACCGCACCGCCGCCGCCCGCTTCCCCGCCGATCTTCATAGGATCCTCAGCCCCGTCGCCGATCTCCGTCGCCCCATCATTAACCCCACCGTCGACCGCAACAACGCCGCCCCATTCGCCCCCGGGCCTGCCACCGCCGCAGCAGCAGCCCACCAGCGCCACCACCCCCGCTCCCCCGCACCCGCCGCCTTCGAAACGAGCCGTGAAGGAGTTGGGATGAAAGGACACGAGGGTACACGGCCGCACGCGCGGCGATGGAGTGCGGTTCATGGAGGAACAACAACAACCGCCGTCCGGTGGCGGCGCCGCTCTCCACCACCGTCTTGGTCTGTTAGCGATGATGGACAAGGACTCCCTCATCTCGTCGCTCGCCACCCGGGAGGCCGTGGATCAAGGACGCCGCGACATACCGACCCCGCCGCAGCCGGATCCGAGTCTTGGAGGACGTGGAAGCGGGGGCGCCGTGGGAGGTGGGGGGGCCGTGGATTCCGGGGGGGGGGGAGACCGCACATGTTCGCAACGATGTTAGCCACCCGCGAGGATGCGGACGCCGCTCTTCGTGCCGAGCGCCCGCCCGAAAAGATGCCAGACCTTCCTCACTGCCTCGCCAGCGACCTCCGAGTGCCGAAAACGTTGAAGGAGGCCGCCATGCGGTCTCAACATTCAGGGTTGTGGGATGATGCAGTCGGTCGAGGGTTTTTCGGTTTGTTGGATGCAGGAACTTTTAGTCCGGTGTAGCAACCAGTAGAGAACGCGATCAATGCCAAGTGGATCTTCAACTGTAAGGCAGACGAGTACGGATGGCCGACGAAATTCAAGGCAAGACTTGTAGCGCGGGAGGACATGCAGAGGGCTTTGATTGATTGTGGAGAATTGTTTGCACCCACCGTATCACTTCCAGTGTGCGCTTGTTGGCAGCATTAGAATGCGGGCAGCATCTTGACTTGTGCCATTTCGATATTCAGCAGACTTTTGTGCAGTCTGAGCTTGATGAGGATGTTTTCGTGCGCTTACCGCAGGGTTGTGGTAGGTTATCTGGCCTGATCGTGAAGCTGTGCAAGAGTCTGTCTGGTTTGAAGCAGGCATCACGACATTGGCATGCGCACCTGACGAGGTGTTTGTTGCTTTTAGGTTTTTTGCAGTGTCTGGCGGATGCATGTGTTTTTCGATTGATGGAGGAGGGACATGTGATCATGATCATCGTGGTCCACGTGGATGACATTTTTGCTGTAGGGCAGAAGGAGAGGTGTAACAAGTTTGACAGGGATCTCAACAAGATGGTCCCCGTGAAGATCCTTGGAGAGTTGAGGTGGTACTCCGCGTGCTTTTACGACAGAGACGTAGAGCGAGGGCTGTTGAAGATTTCGGAGCAAAGGTTTGCCGAAGAGCTGGCTGCAGAGTATGGCGTTGAGTGGGGGCAGAGTGTGCCTCTGCCTGTTAGCGTGAAGCTCTCCGACTTTGACGTGAATGAAGCGAGTGCTGATGTCCCTTTTCGCGAATTGGTAGGATCTCTGATGTGGTTGGCCACTCAAACACGGCCGGACATTGCGGATGCAGCTCGAGCAGTAGCGCGGTATTGCCCGTCTCCCAAGATGGTGCACTGGAAGGCAGCACTCGGTATTTTAGGATACGTACGCAGAACGAGTTGGATGGGGATTACATTTGAGGGGGGCGTCGTGACAGGTATGAGCATGCAGGTGTTTGTGGATGCCGACTATGCAAGCAAGGCGGCAGACCGGAGGTCGGTGTCTGGGGGGCTAGTGATGTGTGTGTGGGGGGGGGTGACTTGGTTTTCACGAACGCAGAAGTCCGTTACGCTTTCCACCACGGAAGCAGAGTATGTGGCAATTGCCGACGTCTTGAAGGAAGTGTTGTTCTTGAGGCAGGTGTGGCGTTTTATTTTGCCTGATGCGAGTATGCCGTGCATCCCGGTGTTCGAGGATAATCAGGGAGCGATTCAGAATGCGCACAACCCGATCATAAACTCCAACTTGAAGCACATCGATGTAATGCATCACTTTATCAGGGAGCTGGTAGAGAGGAAAGATATTACTATTACTCATGTGCCGACGCAAGTTCAGCATGCAGATTTCTTGACGAAGGCCAGTAGCAAGCAGTCTTTTGCGTTGCACCGTGACTTTATGATGAACTTGCAGTGAAGGAAGTGTTTTGGGGTCGATTCGGATTCTGCAGCGGAGAGAAAAAGAGAGAGACGATATTGGACAAGAGAAAGCGAGAGTCTGACGAACGTGGTAAGGGTGTTGGAATTGTGTTAAGATTTTTCTTGTTTGTTTTGGAGGTGTTGTAGTTGTGTTGGGATTTTGTTTTTGGTTTGGAGGAGTTTTAGTTTTGTTGGGATTTTTCTTGGTTGTTTTGGAGGAGTTTTGGTTGTGTTGGAATTTTTCTTCTGATTGACTTGGGAGGGTTCTTGCATGTTTTAGGGAGGATAGTGGATTTGGATGATTTGAGAATTTTCTTGTTTGTTTTGAAGAGATGGTATAAGAGGAATTTGGTTTTTGCCGAAGCATGACGATCACAGCTGCATCGTCTTACTACTAAAGCAGTAAAGCGCTGAAAAGCTTGCTTCCGCACTTGAGAACCGCATATTTTTCAGAGGCTCGATGCTTGCCGGCTGCGTCAAAGCGAGAGCCTGTTTTTCTATTCAAAGTTCTTTTTTCGAGCATGCATCCACCCATAATAAACGTGGTTCTTGTTCCTCTTGTGTTTACGCCCCATGTAGAGGGTACAGGATTGTTCCTCTGGCTCACGCTCGTGAGCTCTGTGGAACAGAAAATATAGCAATAAAAACCTTGTCCAACAGGACCTCTGAATCTAACACATTTACAAGTTTCCGCGATCCCCATTTCGTGGAAACACGGACATGGAATCGCCTTAAGAGATGCATCATGAGTAACATGAAACCACTTGGAGGTCCACGAGGGTCACCTTCGGTGCTGTTGTCCTCCCCGCATTTCTAACGCCCGTCGTAGCTACACTATTGATGGCCGGGCCTGTCCCCTTTCTGCGACGATGGTAGGACCTCCTCCCTTCTCTACAGAGTTGTTTTTGCTTGTCGTTAAACTCGTGTCAGTTGATAATCCCAACATCTAGCAAAGACTCGGTCCGTGGTCACAAAAATGCTAGAGCCATCAGAAGATCTAAAGAACACACACTATTAGCAACAAAAGGGTACACAAGCCCGAGGAGGCACACCTACAATCCCTGCAGCACGTTTGCGTGCTCACAACTGAAGTACACGCCCAGACACTTCAATTCGACTTGTACAGCAGCAGCATCACCCCCTTGTCCCGCATTTAACCAAAATGAATGTTTGTCGACTACAGCATACTGCCGTCTGAAATGCTGTCTGTACAATAATCNCACAAAAATGCTAGAGCCATCAGAAGATCTAAAGAACACACACTATTAGCAACAAAAGGGTACACAAGCCCGAGGAGGCACACCTACAATCCCTGCAGCACGTTTGCGTGCTCACAACTGAAGTACACGCCCAGACACTTCAATTCGACTTGTACAGCAGCAGCATCACCCCCTTGTCCCGCATTTAACCAAAATGAATGTTTGTCGACTACAGCATACTGCCGTCTGAAATGCTGTCTGTACAATAATCACACCATGGTGCATGGTACACAAGCTCGGGGCATGCAGCTGCTGTCTGAAGTGCTGTCAGAATGAGTCCGTGGACATACAATGAAGAAGAATACCCAACCAGAGCCATAATTGCAATTGTCAATCACCCGAATCCATCCAGATCATCTGTGTGTTAGGCACAGCAGTGTAAACATCGACACTGACTAGGAATCGTTCCACATCGAAGGGGTCTTCCACGATGCAGGTACACAATTAAGGCACCCGGGTTATCC